CAACCCCTCAGCTCCTGCTCTCTCTCTCTCCCCTCATGCCCGTGACTTGTGGTTTGTGTTCTTTTTGGTTTGGTTCTCACATCTGACAACACCTTGCACCACATCACACCCAGGCATCCAGATATCTGCACCCACACTACTGACATTACTGACATACACACCTCACTTTGAATAAACTAATTTAACAAATTAATAAAACTTTACGTTAAAATCTGACAACACCTGTGTCGTCTCCCCTCTTTTGCCACAACCTATTTGCTGGGTCGTGACATGGACTACTCACAGTTTGAACACTTTCATTACTGTCTACTTCAAATCAAATCAAACAAAATCAAATCAAGTTTATTGTCATTTTGCTGTACATACACAGTAGTACAGGTAAGATGAGAGAGCGTTTCTTCAGGATCCAATCCTTTAAAGCAAATTAAATAAAGAAGTGTTTGCATATCTGAATCAGCAGTTCAGCATTCTGACAGCTTGTGGAATGAAGCTGTTGATCATTCTGGAGGTTCTTCCTTTAATGCTCCAGAAACGTTTGCCTGATGGTAAAGTAGCAGGATAGTCCTGGGCTTGTAAGCCAACCGTGGCACATTGGCCTGACTCTAAAAGGTGGGTTATGGCCCTCTGCACGCTCTCTCTCCCACTGAGGCCAAGGATACGCCCCTTCCGGTCACTTCACTTCCAGTTCATCGCAGCTTCAAGCGTCTGCGGGAAACGAGCTGTTTGTTTCTCCCTTATAGTTTATTCAGGCTAGGACATGCATGTTAAAATGCACTGTGTGATTACAGGACGCTACGGCAGCTTGAGCACTCCTGACGTGCTCTCCCTCGTAGGTGTGTGGCACACCGTCTTCTGTAAGTACGTAGCTCATTGTTGTTTGATACGTTCACTCTACTTTGTGTGTGTTAAGCAAGTTTTCTGCTTTTCTCCTGGAGCGTTGGCTGTACTGTAGAGCTGTGTGACTGTTTCATTCATTCGGCTTTATTTTCTTTCGTTTGGCCTTATGGTCTATTTCTGTTGAGCATTCAGTGGTAAAGATTGTTTATTATTCTTCAGTTTTGTAATTCTTTTGTTTTTGGGGACTGTTTCTTGCCTGAATTATAATTTTGAACCTTAATGTCCCAATTCTTTTGTATTTTCAGATCTTTGTGCATTTTTTAGTTAGAATATATATTTTTCTTTTGAATTTGTGATAAGTTTATGGCGGCAGTTATCACCTATACTTTTATCTTTTTGTTTCTTTTTGTTTAATAGATTTGAGTGTTCCCCACTAATTCCCTTTTTTTCTCTTTCAGAGCGAGCGCCACGGTGGTGGGCTGGTGCTGACGGTGTTGGCATCCTCTTCCCGTGTGCTGTTGGAACCCTGGGTTTTTGTTTGATCCCTCAAGTGTGTATGTGTATGTCTATTCACTTGGTGACTGTCCCCTGGGACGCACACCTCTCCTGTCGACACACACCGGTGGTAGGCCAGACCTGAATCAGTTCACTTCCTTCCCTTTTTTTTATGAATAATTATTTTAAGTGAATTTTTATTGCACCGTAATAAAAATGAATTGTATTGTCACAGAACCACGTCTCTTGCCTTGTGGTGTAACGGACCTGTGTGCCTCTGAGGTAGTTGCCAGAGGTAGAACGAATCCTTGGGTGAAATTCCCAAGGTGGCATTGTCAGTAATTGTTGAGCTATTGGGTGAGTCTACACCTGCTCTGGCTCTAAGCCCCGCCACAGTAGCAGTTCAAACAGTTCATGGAGAGGGTGTGACGAGTCCCTAACAATGTTCAGTGCCCTGTTCCTGCATCAGCTCTGGAAAAGTTCTTGGACAGAGGTGAGGGAAACTCTGATGACCCTCTCAGCTCCTCTAACTATCCTCTGCAGGGCTTTTCTGTCTGACATATTGCAGCTGGAATACCATGTTGACATGCAGTATGTCAGAATGCTCTCCACCACACCTCTGTAAAAAGTCCTGAGGATGCTGGCAGGGAGAGAGGCTTGTTTCAGCTTCTTCAGGAAATGGAGTCTCTGCTGGGACCATTTGATGATCACTGTGGTGTTCTTATGCCAGCTCAGGTCCTGCGAGATCTGCACTCTGAGGAACTTGACATTCTCCACTCTCTCCACTGTGCAGCCACTGATGCATGCTCAGGGCGTGACCTCCAGAAGTCGACGATCATCT